AAAAGTATATACATTCTATTTAATGCGAAATTGGAGATTTTTATTCCACAAATATCTATATACAGAACAAAACCAGCCAAACTACCCATAATGAAAACAAATACAGTGATAGAGCACATAGAACTCTAAACCATTCCAAATACTACTTACAAGGATATGCTACATAACCTCAAAGGACAGATCTGGCTCTATGCTCCCAAGCAATGATTAACAATCTAATAACTTCTACAGCAGTGCTAATAGTGACTTTTTTTGCTACAGAATGCCTATAAATAACTGATATCCACACACACACAACATTTACCCCTTAACAGATGGTGAACTCCTCCAGCACAGCCATTAGCATGGTGTGTAGCAGGCAACGAAAAAAGCAGATGATCACATGCAGCATGATGGAGCCACATCAAGCAGACATTTTGTGAGAATCCACTTTTTAATTGGACAGAGTGCAAAATACCAGAAATCGTGGCAGTGGGTGGCTGTGCGCAACGGAAACTAACTGCAGCCAATGGTGCTATGGGTTGGGAACCTTTGGTTAACATAGACCTGCCATAGCATGTGCCAAGACAGTTATCTGTGTTACATGCTGGTAGTCCACTGTGTTGGAAAATAAGCACTGACAGATCTGCAGCTCAGGAGTGATGTATAAATTCAACAGCTGAAAGCACTGCGAGAAATAAATGTGTCTTAGGTTTGTAGCTTTGTTTCTCAAGACCCATGTTTTAGAAATTGGAATAATGCTGTTTAATAAGCCAGGCTCAGTTCTGTGCTGCAGACTTTTCATTAAGTCATTACTGCCAGGATGGAGCATCAATGGCGATATAGCCACCAAATTTCATTGGCTTGAATCTAATCAAAACTACATATACGAACAATAAAGCAGAGTTATATCTCAAAGAAGCCGAGACAAACTGGCTCCAGGCAGAGAGGTTTGAAAATTGTTCTGCATCTTGTGATTCCTTAGAGGACTGCAGTAAGAATAACATTTGCTGGTAAACTCTTAAGGCACCTGCACTTGGTCGTTCTTTTTTTATGTTGAGCTCTAGAGTTGCTGGTATTGTAGCTTACAATTTACTCCTCCAATAATTAATATAGTATGACTACAACAGCACTACCTGTATTATCTGTACTGTAGAGTAAATTGACAACAGCAGTTAAAGCGGAAGTCTACCTTTCCAAACAGTTGCTGGGTATCATTCAACTTGGAAGAGATGAGGCATCTGGGACTGGAAGTGGTGGGTCTGTGGGTGTTAAAATAATGAGGCTAATGAGTGACCCCTTTGTTTAGCACAAGAACATGGCCAGTATAGTTAAAAGGCATTTAAAGCCTATTGCACCCTTATAAACCACCAGAAAACACCTTAATTTTGACTTCTCTGTACCTACAATGCATTTTCTGAAAATGGGAATATGTCTCCAAAATCTCCTTATTTTGATAAAATTCCGGAAAATAAAAACTCATCCCTAGTCACATCCTTCTGCCTCTGAGTCTGTAAGTGTAACCTGTAAACTTTTAAGATCCTGATCCTGATAAGATGTGACTGTTGCTCTGTTCATAACCTAAACCAGCCCTTCTCAACCTTTTTACCCCTGAGGAGCCTTTGAAATCATTTTCAAGTTCAGGGGGAACCAATGCTTAAAAGGATTCTACCTATGTTACATAAGTGTGATTAATAAGTTGAAGAACATTTTAAATTAAAGAAATGTGGTGTAAACATGTAAGCTGCGGAAACATTAGGTCCGGTTTGGATATTTTCGTTATTTCGGGATTCGGATCTGAAATCCAATTCGGTTCGGGTTTCGGATGAGTTCTGAGTTTTCGTTAGTTTCGGATGAGTTTACGAATATTCGTTGTGAATACCACAGAAAACCATATACAGATATTAATATTAAAGCTCAAGCTCCTAGACCCATTCGGCAGTCCGAATTTCCGAATATACCATTCAGGAGCTCCAGAAAGCAATACGGCTCTGGGAGCCACATTAAAGCTGAGGCTTCCAGACCCGATTTGCATGCGGGAGCTCTCAAATGCTATTCGGAAATTCGGACTCCACCCGGGTCTTGGAGCATCAGTTTTAGGATTATGTATATATAAGTAGTATTCTATAATATGAACGAATATTCATAGCGGCAACATTGTGACCAATATACACATAAAACTAAACCTCAGGCTCCCAGACCCAAATGGTATTCAGGAGCTTCCGAATGCAATTCGAAAATTCGGATTCAGACCCATTCGGATGCATTAAACTGAAAAACACATCTGATTGGCCAAGTCACTTGTCCAATTCAATTTAGTTTTTAAACGACATTCGGATGGGATCTGAAATTCATAAATGGAAATCCGGATTTGTACGCATTCAGATGCATTGGGATTCGTATGTGTCGAATGTCCGAACTTCGGAAAATTCGGATGTATTTGGATTCGGAACAAAACGAAATGCACATGTGTAATGTAGTGTACTTAGCACATTATTATCCAGGGCAGACAATTTTGTTACCAACCCACTAAAAAATAATTTTCAGTAATCTTGAAATGAATAAATGCAGAAACAAATGTCATACAGTAATAATTGTGGTGTACTCCAACATTTTCGGTCAGTGTAGAAGTGATCCCTTATAATGGTGGTTAGAGCAACATTGCACCCTTGCACTGATGTCCTTTGTAATTTGGAGATCAATCCACCATTGCTCAAGGGTCCCCTAGCAACCTCAAGAGGAACCCTAGTTGAGAAACATTGACATAGACAAAAGGAAATAAATTATATTTACTTTTCATCTCCATGTTATCCATATATATTTCTTTGCCATCCCCATATTATTCATAGCTGTGATCACAGATATAGAAGCCTTAAATTAGTTATATGAAATATCCTTGACTTCATGCACACCGCAATGCATACATACATAAAATACGAAGGAATATGCTTCAGTGCTTCAGTGAATTTGTCTTAAATATTAGGTAAACATATATTTATAGGTAATCAGTGTGGTTGAAAACATGTAAAGAGAACCTGTGATAGCTAACCAAGTGTTAGCTGCCACAGGTGAGCATGCTATGCCATGCACCTGCAGCTGCTTGCCCTGTAAAGAGTTGGGGAAAGAGTTTGTGCTGCATTGCATGTAGAAAAGCATCCTACATAGGGGTCTATTCACAAAGCTGCCGAAGGCAGCCGTGTGGATAACCGACCCGAAGTGAAGTGAGCCGAACTCTGTTCCGCTATTCACTCCAGGCATGTACGGCTGATTTAAGCCGTACACCGACTGAAATCAGCCGTACATTGGCTTGCTGCGGCTGGGTTCGGCTCGGCCGAACATGCTGACCCGAAGTGCAGAAGGAGTTCGACTCAGCTGATTCAACATCTGGGTCGGCTGAGCCAAACCTCCGGCAGGCTACTCGCTGCTGTTCGGCCTATTCTTATAGAGGCCAAACAGCAGTGAGTGAATAGCCGAATGCTGCCGAGCGGCATTCGGCTCGGCTATTCTGCTCGACACCTCTTGGTAAGCAGGGGACAGATCTGTTGAAAACATGTAAAGAGAACCTGTGATAGCTAACCAAGTGTTAGCTGCCACAGGTGAGCATGCTATGCCATGCACCTGCAGCTGCTTGCCCTGTAAAGAGTTGGGGAAAGAGTTTGTGCTGCATTGCATGTAGAAAAGCATCCTACATAGGGGTCTATTCACAAAGCTGCCGAAGGCAGCCGTGTGGATAACCGACCCGAAGTGAAGTGAGCCTCTGTTCCGCTATTCACTCCAGGCATGTACGGCTGATTTAAGCCGTACACCGACTGAAATCAGCCGTACATTGGCTTGCTGCGGCTGGGTTCGGCTCGGCCGAACATGCTGACCCGAAGTGCAGAAGGAGTTCGACTCAGCTGATTCAACATCTGGGTCGGCTGAGCCAAACCTCCGGCAGGCTACTCGCTGCTGTTCGGCCTATTCTTATAGAGGCCAAACAGCAGTGAGTGAATAGCCGAATGCTGCCGAGCGGCATTCGGCTCGGCTATTCTGCTCGACACCTCTTGGTAAGCAGGGGACAGATCAGCGTCCCCTGGTTACCAAGTAACCAGGGGACGCTGAACCGTCAGTACCATGAGAGCTCAGCAGAGTCAGCTTTCATATCTTCTCCGGTTCTGCTAAGCTCTCATTGTAATGCAGGGGGGAGAGAGCACCCCCCTGAAATGATGGCAATAGCTTCTTTGCTATCTGCAAGTTGTTTTTTTTTAGTATTCTGACAGCTGCTGCCGTCAGAATAAATAAAATTAAAAAAACAGCATTGGAATGCATAGCTAAATTCCTATTGGCTATTTCAATTTGCAATATCCAATAGCAAGCTGGCTATTGCACCCGCGCTCTGCTGCTGTCAATCACTAGAAGAGGACCTGATGGAGAACCTAAGGTCCCCTCTGCTGATTGACAGAGCAGCAGTGGGCGGGTGCAATAGAAAGTTTGCTATTGGCTATTGCAAAGTGAAATAGCCAATAGGAATGTAGCTAGGCATTCCTATGCTGTTTTTTTTTCTGACTGACGGCGGCCGGCGGCTCCGATGACAGTAGAAAAAAAAACCCAACAGAGCAGGGAAAGGTTTACTTTGCTCTATCGAGCAGAGTAAACCTTTCTGGGAGAAAGTGTTTCTCTCCCGGGCGGCCGGGAGCCGCTATCTAATAGCGGGAGACTCTAAAGGGGCCGGGAGAGTTGGGATGTCTGGTAATGACAGATCGGCGTCCATGGTTACCTGGTAACCAGGGGACGCTGATCTGTCTCTGCAAGTGGCCGGAGCCAGCCGTGAGATGACGTCTGGCTCCGCCCAGCTGTCAGTAGCAGGCTGTCGGCCGGCCATATGCCTTCGGCTCGACTGAGCTGCTGGGCCAACTTCGGGAGCTGTATGGGCTATAGTGAATAGCCCGTACAGCAGCCCTTCGGTTCTACTGAAACGAAGGGGTCCTGGGGCCGAAGCTAGCCGAAGGATTAGCCGCAGCTATGGCTAGATCCTTCGGCAGCTTTGTGAATAGACCCCATAGTGTTTTAGAAAAGCATTCTACTTATGGCTTTACTGCTCTCCCATGGCTCTGCTGCTGTCCCGAGCACTCAGAAACCTGCCGTTTAGTCAACCGTACCACAAAGTCCCACAACCGCAAAGTATAAATGGAATAATTTGGCTCTGTACAATCTTTTAGACCCAGTCTTTGCAGAAATCAGAAAAAAACCTGCTAAGTGCCTTTAATTGTGTTGCAGTAAAGCATTGCAAAGCAGGTTACTTCCAAAAGGAACTGCATAGCAGCGTAATTAAACTAGATGGAAGAATACAGACTTCTAAGTTACATCAGACTAAATACATATTTCTTAAAACATTGTCACTTTATTTACATATAATGAAAGAATCCAAAAACTTCAACATGTGTTAAAAACATTATAAAAAACATAAGGACCCCCAATTTCTCATTATTTCTTTTTTTCTTATCAGGCACATGTTAAATTTCTTAAAAAAACACCCATGAATCTTAGAGGTCTCTTGAGTAAATTGTATGTATCACATACTGTGCCAGATGAGATCCAGAGAAAGTGTTTCCTCTACATGTTTCATGGTGCAAATCGTTTCCTAAAGAAGTAACAGGGGTATAATATCAATGGACAACAATAAGACATCTATTAATCATCTCAATACAAATATTCTATATATGCCAATTTCCATATTTGTGATATGCATACATATTAAAACTGCAAAGACTTGTTTGTCAAGATCCCAGGATCCATTTGTGTCTGGCGCGGATGAGGAGGTAATATAAAGGGACACCTGAATAGCCAGGAAAGAGGACAATACCACCTAAGATTACACTGAGCACTTAACCCTTAACAAGGTCAGCCTAATGTGTAGAATAGTCATTTCACCTTATTATGCCTCACCTTTGATCATTAGAATTCTAGCTGATTTCACTCATGGGCTCTTGCAGAATAAATCTTCTCTATATATCCTAGTGCACTTAAATATAGAAGAGGGGGGATACATAAGTGAAGGTAGGACCGGGTACATCAAAAATAATGTTAATAAGATGGCATTTATTATGTATGGTATCTAGGGCCACATATCAAGAAATACTATACCATCAATGCTTGTCCTAACATACAGGTTGAATATAACTTAAAAGAGAAACATAGAGCCATCTTAGAGCATTTGATGATTCAAATCAAGGTATTATATCTATGTTCTAAAGGGTTCTCCTATCTCTACTGTCGCCTCACAGCTTCTAGGATGCATGTGGTTTAATGGCCGTAGCGTTCCCTATCTTTTAAACAATGCCGCCGGAGAGGCATACACCATATATGACGTCACATCCAACGCAGGCTCTCAGTTAATGCACATACTCCGCGAACCCCGGATAGAGGCTTGCCCCGCAGCGCATGCGGGATCACAGTGCTTCCGCATGCACTGCGGAACTCAAAATGAGACCTGGACCTCAATACAGCGGGGCCACCATTTCCTCTTAAAGTAGCCCCCCTCCAGAAGGAAGGACACAAATTCAGAGATGATTTGAGGATCTGTCGCTGAGTAATACACAAATTGGATACATTTTTGCTAATAGTTTAAGGAACTTGAAAGCATTTTAAGGTTTAAATTCTGAGTTTAGTGTTGGGTATCGCCGCGCACGCCGGAGTGAGAGCAATAATTCTAGGGCCAGTATTTTGGGGTATTTCTACATTGATGGCCTGGCTTTTAAAGAGTCTTCTGTAGTTACTGCAGTTTTTCGCCGTTTCACGGACGCACGCAATTTGTAAACTGGGCATGTTGGGTATCATTTTACTCGTTGTAACCTCATCTTTTATATTTCATTTAGAAAATTGGTATTTTGTTGTGTTTTGGGGCATTTAATTAAATTTGTCACTAAATTTTGGGGTTTAATAAGGAGTTGCGCTAATATTGCGCAACATAAAAATTTGCAACTACCACCATTATATTGTATAGGGTCTTGGCATTCAGAAAATATATAATGTGTGGGGGTTTTAAGTAATTTTCAGGCCTAAAATGTGGAATATACCATGGGTGCAAAAAAATGAAAAAAAGGCCTCAGTCATGAAGGGGTTAAGTATCTCACTAACAAGATTTGATTTGAAATCCACACAAAGGCATGTTTGGCTATTCTGCATCAATACATCTAGAACCCATGATTAGAAGAGTCAGTGTCAGCCTACTCTGCTAGCAGTTCAGTTTTAGGTGTATGGACTCAGAGATGGTGAGCTTTATCAAACACATTACACTAATCTACCAACAAAAGTGTACAAGCTGTTCAAGGACAGCGACAATGAGGATCCAAATTGGGTAGCACTCTGGAACCGAAATAAGTCAGTAAAGTCAGAAACGATGTCTGCAGATAGCCGTGTACTGCCTCTGGCAGCCCTGCCATGGCTTATGCTGGCTATGCATCAAGCATATTAAATGCTTCCATGCAGTATTTCTTTCTTTCCATAAATGACTTTGCGTTCACTTGCAATGTGCTCAGCACCCTCCCTCCTTGCACGTCATAGCCTTCTCCTCTTCTGAAGGGTCTACTTACTCTCTGAGCTCTCTTACATAACTTTGTATGTAGCTGCTGGTGGAGGAGCAAAAGGGAAATACTATATAGTGTTACTAGAGACTGTTAGGGCTGCTGACATGACATCCAAAATGGAGGTGCCTATCGGCAGCCTTAGGGCTTTTCAATGTCTGCACAAGGTAAGACTTTTACAGGTAAATAACTTGCCTAAATTACGGTAAATGCACCTATGATCTTATGTTGTGGCAACCAGGTCTTATTAAAGTAGTATTCAATTCTCAAACTTTTTTTCAACAGTGAATCCAGATCAAACAAATATATATTGCCCAGCAAAGTATTTATTTACATATTTGCCCAAGCACTTACAGTCACCATGTTTCCAAATAGCTCCAACTCTTTCAGCTCCCCTTGCCTGAACTTCCTTGTTCAGAAGGGACAGTACAGTCTCCAGCAGCCGTCCATCTACTAGCTTGGGGAAGCAAGAAGGGAGGAGCAGAGAGCAGGGGAGTAGATTGCCTTGCTGTGTCTGTGTGTTTGTGAAGACACCCACAGCTTACTAGCACACACAAGAGTGGTTCCATAGGACCCTGCAAGGAAAGGAACCACCCAAAAAAAGAAGTCAGGACCAGTGCTCAGGGGACCAACTGATTCTGCAGAAAACTAAAACTTTTAATCAAGAAGAAGCAGCGTCCATTGTATGAGATTTCATCACAATTTGAAATAGCTTATAACCCTTTTTGCTTTAATAGCTCTTTAAGGCTTCATTGTTGCTGCTGGTAAAATCTATATAAGAAGACAGGACAGTGAATAACTCTAGTAGATTTTTTACCAAACATGTAATTGGTGTCATGAATCTACCCCTTGAACTCAATGGAAAATAGGACAGTTTTTTTCTCTTTCATTCTCTAACCTTCATGAGGAAAATGTAATGTTAACCATAATTGGTTGCTATGGACAGCAGCTCATTGCAGGTAGTTATTTCTGTAACCCAACGTGAACCTTATCCTAAGGTGATAGGGACACACGTGTAGAAAAGAGAAGGATCAGGCCTGTCCTCAGAGAGTTACACCCCTAGGAACTCAGAAACAAACTGATTATTGCAAGCAGTGCTTGAAACTAATGCACGGTATTATCAGTCCATTTACAGTATGTCCACCCTAATACAGGTTGTTTTTTCCCTCTCTCTTAGCAATCTATCTATGATGAGTTCTTCAAGCTGCAAAATTCTGTGAGGGGAATGTATCAAAACTGGAGCAGACAAAATATGGAGCAGCTGTGCATGGCAACCAATCGGCTTCTCTCTCTCATTTTCAAATCTTAACTGAGCAGATAAGCTGATTGGTTGCCATTGGCAACTGCTCCAGATTTTGTCTGCTCCAGTTTTGATAAATTGCTTCCTGTGTATTTTTTGTTGTATGTCTCTTAAAGGTGCCCATACACCTTACGATTGTCGTACGATAATTGTATGCAATCGACTTTTTGTACGACAATCATAACGTGTGAATAAAGTGCCCGACCGATAGTACTGTACAATCGTACGACTTTTGACGGTCAAGCATGTTTGAAAACTTTGGTCGATCGTACGATGTTCGCATGGTTGGTGGCGTTTCCGTCCGTCAAAAGTCGTAGGATTAACACTGCGCATGCGCAAACTAAAATAATTTGCGGTCAATTACCGCAAGTCGTCCAGGTTCACTTCATTGATAAATATTGACATGGCTTGCAAAACATTTTACAAGTAGATTTGTTTTAATTGCAAATCTGCAGGTTAGGGAACATTATTTATGCAAGTATTTTGTTTAAGTATAATAATCCTTTCCAGCAGGAGAAAAGACTTCTGGATACATGCCATGCTCATGTCGCCTGATGTCTTGCTCCTTGTACTTTGTAGCACACCTGTGGTACTTCATAAACTGATTGGAAATATCAGGGGTTTGCTGTACAAAAAATCATATTACAAATGGTAGCACAATGAGTTGCAGTAATGCCAATTATTCATACAATTGAGCAATTATATTTTTACACATTAATACGCATTGCATCCTCATCTTCATTCTGCTTCATTCCTGCTGCGACTTGCCTTCTAACACAACCTCCCCTTGATGTTGATCGCAGTTTGAGGGATTTGGTTTCATTCATTTTTTGTACATGCGATTGGCCTTCGTTGATTGGGCTACAATAAGCTACAGGTGCATATTATATTTATATGTTTTTTTTAGCTCTTGATTTAACTTTATTCCATATGATCCATCTGTGCGGTTATTCACTGCTTTACACATCTGTACTAAGCGTATGTATTTCTTTCCTGTATCACAACTTTTTGATGTCTATATTTAAATATAAAAATAATTAGTGATGCATTTTTAGATTGTTTACTTAATGTTCAGTTTTTCTTTAGGATCAATATCCCCCTGAGGAAGCCTGGTTCAGGCGAAATATGTTGAGTTGTCCCAAGAAAAACTCCTCTTGCTCAATTGTATGAATAATTGACATTACTGCAACTCATTGTGCTACCATTTGTAATATGATTTTTTGTCACTAATCCTTCGAGTGCAATAATGTTATCTGATTTTAACTTCTTGTGAATAATAAATTATTATATTTTTTTATAAATTTACTGTGAGAGCCTTAGGGGTCTATTCACCAAGCTGCCGAGGGCAGCCGAGTGAATGACCAATCTGAAGTGAAGTGAGCCGAACACTGTTCGGCTATTCACTTCAGGCTGGTACGGCTGATTTCAGCCGTACATCGGCTGAAATCAGCTAGCCCCCCCCCCCCTCGTTTCTGGGTCCTAGCATACCTGAAATTGGGATCTATTGTCTTATCTATTATATTGGGGTGTGAAACCTTGCTCTCCTCCTTTGTTTTCTCAGCACGTGCCCACTAATGTTTTTATTATGACAGTCTATAGAGATGTCACACCGGCATTTCTTTATACCAGCAAATACTGTGAGCAGCAGAATTGCTGAGGAACCAAACTGACACCTTCCCTAATGGGTGTTGCAAGCAATGTCTTAATGGTATTGCCTGCAAGAGATTGACACCGTAGGAGAAGATAAGTGGTCTCTTAGTGAACTTGTTGCTGGCGCGTATGTCCAGGGACAGGGTAACATGGCTCTTGGGTCCATTTTTCACCTATGTGCAAGTTGAAATTCCTTGTTTGACATGTCAGTGTATGTTTTGGATCATGTTGCCAGTCATTTCCTATGAATCACTAAAAAGTAGCTACTGAGCAAAGAACATAGCTGATCCTTTTTTCCAAACATAGAGGTAAAGGCCCCTTTCAAACAGGTGCCTGTCAGTTCTGATCAGCAGGGAAGCCGTGCATGGGTCACGTGATGATTGGAGCAGTACGCAACCTATCCATCCAGTTTTTTCCTCCATCTTGTGATTGAGGAAAAAACTGAACTTACCGGACCCATGTTAGGTCTATGGGGAGTGGAATGTAAACGGATATGTGTCAATTTACATCAGATTACCTCTGACACCTCACAATCAGGTCCACCAAAATGGAACTTTGTTCTCTGGTCCTGGATGGCGACGGGGGATTATCTGTGCATCCTTTTACATTTGGCTGCCCATAGACTAAAATTGACCTGATTCGACCACCCCGCCTGAAAGAGGCCAAAGGTTGTTTCCGTTTCCCACACCATTGTCACATTCTCTACTTCTTTATGGTGGATTTCAGTAAAGTCACTAAAAGCTAGCACCTGAGCAATGGAGACTGACCTTATGATGAAAAAATATGCAAATACAGAGGTTACCTTAAAGCCCGACTCCAGACTTGTAAATTCAACCCCCCCCCCCCCCTTTTGTCCTTTATCCCTATTGCAAAGCCCACATTTTTTTCTCTAGATCTCTAGATGGTCCAATGACATCACATCTCCTCTTCACCCTTTTCTTTTTCTAGTAGTGGGCTAATTCTAAATGCTGCAGCATTCTTCTGTAAGTTCGGGTGGGTGGATTTGTGAAGCTATGGGCCTAGAGAAGATTGGTTAAATAGGGCTGGACATCTTTCAGATTAGCACTGGATCCCTGAGTGGGTGATTGTGTAGTGTAGCAGCCGGAGCTTCTTTTTAATTTTTATGAGTTGCTGGGGATCCATGCAGTTTTCCTAAGCTTTAATTAATTGGGTTTTAAGTTAAAACCCTCTCTCATAACAATCAGTAAATTTAGAGATAAAGGCAGCTGAATTTATATGCAATTATCAACTTTACCTGTAAAGTCAAGCTCGGCCCATTCGGCTCACACTTTTAGAGCCTCCCTTTTGGCCTCTAAAGCTAAATATAAATTTAAAACCCAACTATTGTTCTTAGGTTTGGATAAGGTTGGTAGGAGTTAGAACCTCTGATTAGTATTTATTGAAAGGTATTTTTTTGATCCACATACTGTATATCAGAAAGACAGCAGAAATCATCCAACTCATTTTGGGATCAAACAATCCTACTTCATCGGGCTAAAGAGAAGCAAAAATGTATAAGTAATTTGCAAATAAATGCAAATCAAATCATAGTAAAGGATATACTGTATGTAAACAAGAATTTGTCTAAAACGCAATTCTTAATTGGGCGGGCCGTCTATATTGGGCGGGCTGTCCACCTGGAGAACTACCGAACTCTGACAACTTTGGATCTGTTTTGGGTCCAGCGCCTCATCTCTTCTTCCATTTGGTATATAGTGATGTCTGTGACTTCCCTGTGTAGTGCAAATGGGAAACAGTTTTGGCTGGGGCTGGACTTTAAGGACCAATAAAGAAGTATTGGTGGTAGGAGAAGGCAACACTATGGTAGACTTTCACAGGAAAAATAGTGATTTGCATTTAGCTTCACTTGTTTCTATCTCTTGATCTACTAATTATTAGACATACAGTTTTCACTAAAGGCAACTTCTGAATACACATATTTTAATTACATGTTCAGTTTGAATTGGACAGGTGTATAACAATCAACCAATACGATTTTATCACATTTCCCAATGTATAATTAAACATGTAAACTCAATTGGTGCCTATAGGCAACACAAAACGTTTCAGTTTTGTATAACATTGTTGCTTTATGTGGAATAGTGACTCAATTCAGTACAATGGACATCGCCAGGACGGACTCATCTCTGCAAATTATTATAACTGTACATCTCATTTGTTTCCTTTATGCTGCTGTTTCTGTCCATTTATATGGAAAATGGGGCTCTCTAGTGTTACTTTTGTCATTGCATTCAGTTCTGTGTGCTAGAAAATTGTTCCGATATGTGGGAATGGAAGTTACTATTTATAGTGCTTTATATATATTCTTGGCAATCACAAGTACAGACTATAATACTGAAATAAGTAACAAATATACTGGTATAAAATAAGCCCAGTCATTTTGTGCTAGTTTGGAATCTGTTTTCTATTTATCTGTCTGTGAGCAGATGATTACCGCAGATCTGATGATGATTTGCTCGTCTTTCATCAACGAAACCCTCAGATTCAGGATCTGCTGCAGAGTTCTCTCTAATTCAACTATTCATTGTCTGCTCCCACAGAGATTTTCCACTCACTTGGAAAACAAGAGTGTTTGATAACAAGCTCTTTTGATGCAAATGCGCATTAGTTCTCCCTCAGTTATTCCTATGCATTCGATTCTCAATTGCCACAATCCATGCTTGATTTTATTAGGGCCCCGTTAACATTATTGCATTGCAGGAATGGCACCCCAACACACTTTGCACAACATGTGACAACGCATTTATGTACATTGCGGCTCGCTGCTGACAAAGGTGCAGGTCCAATTTCTAGGGCGTTGAAGTGCGGTATCAGTCCATTCATTTTATTGGCTGCCTAATGCAGTGTACATTAATGCACGGTGTTAAGACACGTGCGTTACAGCACTGCACCTCAAAGGTTAGGTGTGAATCTAGACTAAATGTCTTGTTATTTAAAACGACACATATTAGTACCTGAATATATCTCGATGTCAGCATCCTGTAGTTCCCTGCACAGCAGGACTGGGAGAGGCACTCTAAGCCATTCACAGCTCCGTTACTTTGCAGAGCATGTCTTTACAGGAGGGAAGAACACTGGGATATTCTCATAATTTTTCTGATGCTTTGCAATGTTCCAATGATAGACAGGAGTGTGTCTTGGATCTCTTTTACTTTAGTAAGCTGCAGAGACTTCCAGGCCAAGCTCTGCTGATATTGGGTCACAAGACTGCATAGACTTTATTTATATATAATATATATTGTAAGACAGGCTCAACTGGTATTGGCAGCAGTAAACCATTCATAGGACAGGTTAGCTCTGCATTTTTTTCAGCAAGGCAGCAAACAAACACAGTTTCACTGGAGGAAGGCTTTGTACA